ATGACATATTTAGCTCTACAAACCTGAAATTTGGCGAAGTTTTGAGAGATGTTCCCCGGTAAACTCGCGTGCAACTTTTCGCCTCCTGATGGGCCGGTCCCGAACAACCTGCTCAACGCTCATTGGTTGAAGGAAACAAAGGGAATGGAATGTTTGGTCAACACGAGCAGCCTTTTGTGGGGAGGGAGACACAGGGCCGATCCCGAGACAAAAAACGGCTGCGAGAGGAGACTATTTATAGCCCTGTATAGCTCTGTATAGCCCTGCATAGCTGCGTGTAGCTGTGTATAACTCTGTATAGCTCGGTATAGCTGTGTATAGCCCTTACAGCTGTGTACCATGTACAGCTGTGTATAGCTGTGTATAGCCCTCTATAGCTGTATATAGCTGTGTATAGCCCTGTATAGCCGTGTATAGCGTTGTATAGCTGTGTATAGCCGTTTGTAGCTGTATATACCCCCGTATGTTGCATGTAGTGCTAGGACATCATATATATGTAAAGTATAGGTCATAATATTTGTTGAGACACAATAATTTCCTATACATGACCTACCTACTGGCTTACAAGGTGACCGCTGAGTCTGCTGCTCGATTCGATTCAGTGAACTTTCTACTTCCGGTTTCTACTTTCAAGATGGCAAATTCCCTTGTAGGAAGACATCAAATCCCCGTTCCTCTCAAGTGAGTCGAAGATAACATTATGAAAATCAACCTACTATACGATAATTGCCGTAAAACATGGCCCAAAGCCGTGTGCGCGTTTGCAAACGTTTGCGGCGACATCAGCTGCGCAATCTGGTTCGTAGTTTTAGTGCCACAAATATGGAAGAATTGTAAGCGTCGATCTGTCGAGGGACTTAGCATTCTTTGGGCCACTGCGAACTTTACAGCCTCGCTGGTAAACTGTTTCTTCGCTTTTTCTTTTCCGCTGCCTGTGTATATCAGAGTGTCAGCGGCATATATGCCCTTTTTAGAGTTTGCCATATTATTACAGTTTTGGTTCTATTCCAAGCACTCTGTGAGAATGAAACTAACCTACGGCGCTGGCTGTTTTCTAATCTGGATCGCAGTGATCAGTTTAGAACTCTCTGTTGCCGATGCCGAGGAAAATTTGCAGTGGTTGGCAATCGTTCTGTGGTCTATTGAGTCATTTCCGCAGGTAGGCAGCTCAATATAAATTATAGTTAATTAATAGATTTAAAGCTAAGACAACACTGATTTGAAATAACCCACACGCGAACAAATTCGAACTTGTTATGAAGCGTACTCTTCGTCCATAATTTAGGTTTAATTTCCCAAACTCGTCGAAACCAGATTACCCTTCCCTCTTTCTTTGGTACACACTCCGAATCTGAAATAACATGTAAGGCAAGTCTGTGTAATTTAACTCTTCAGTAGGTTCTTATGTCTACGTAGCAGTCCCTCTAGTAAGAAAAATAGGAATATCCCTATTCCAAATTGACCTTTTAAGTCCTTCACTCAGAGATTTGATCTTTCCAAAACAAGGACAAGGTTCGTTGCATAAATCATAACCACAGTCATCCTCTCTGGAGGATTTAGAGCTGGCCACAGATGGCATGTTACAGACTTGTGGTGCACTTAACAGTCTATTGCAGACTAAACTTTTTTATTTGACTTTGTGTATTACTAACCAATTAACTATGTGTTTTGATATTCTGTGGTGGAGTATGATCAGATTGTGTGCAGGCCTCTCAGGGCTTAATGTTTCATATTTGCAATCATTCATCTAACCAGCCATGTTTAATTTGGAGTTAGATTGGATGGTGGGGGAAGGGGCATGGGAAAGGCAAGAACATGCATTACCCCTCCTCTGCCCCTCTCGTCCATTTTTATCATCACTCACCCCCTCTTGGCACAAACTTCTCTTTCTCCCCAGCCTTCAACTGCTGCTAACATCAAACATAGTTGCTATGATGTTCACAAAGAAAACCAATGCATTACACTCCTTTCCAAATAAGATTAGGAAACGAAAACTATCGAAAAGAGTTTGTCTGATTGGGGTTAACTTGTGAGTAATTTAACCCAGCCTGTAATTCTCAGAAGTGATTAACATGTAACCTCTCCCCTTAATATCCATCATTTATCCTGCAAAAAGGTAATAGAATACTCAAACTTAAAAAGGTATTTTACTAAGCCATCTATTACGATGCACGTACATCGGGTAACTCTGCACTCTAGCACTTGGCAGAAATTCTATTGGCGGTAAAAGTCCTCAGGAAAATTCTCAAAACCTTTTATATGCCACTGCATGCAAAATCTGTCACTTCTTGTCAGTCTACTGACATGGCAGTGTCTGCAAATTTCCCCACCCCCCTCCCCTTTAGGGGTGCTGCCAATCATTTTTTAGCTCACCATATGCCAGCAAAAATCATTTTCTCCATAATTTATCCATCTAAAGGCATAGGGTGACTTTGTAGGCAAAAGTGAATTAATTACTATTTTCAACAACTTACATGATTATTGAGATACAATGAAATATATGAAGTTCATATATTTTGATCTGCGGTATTAGATATGTATGATGCACGATCCTCGCAGTAGATAGCGTTACATGATTATTCCAGCTGAGCTTGTTGTCAGAGCAATCATATAGAAATTAAACCGGCAGATAAAAATGTTAAATTCAAAGTGAATGCCTCAACTAATGCAATCAAAATCAAAACCTATTAGCCCTTAAACTTCCAAAAGTGATTAATTTGTAACT